TCCTGGACCCCTCTCGGGGCCCTCGTGGAGCCCCAAGAGGGGTCCTCTTGGGGCCCCAAGAGGGGGCCAGGACGTGTTTGTTGGGGGGGTGGGTCCCGAGGTGCCCAAAGAGAGGGCCAGGAGGGCACCAGGAGGGCCCCGACAAGGCCCCATGACGCATGTACGTGGGCGCCCCTTATGGCAAGCCCCACAAACATATTAAGTACATGCGGCTTGGGGTTATGTTGGGCCCCTCTCGGGGCACTCTTGGAGCTCTCTAGGAGCCCTTTTGGTGCCCTCTGGGTGCCACCCGAAAGCGTACGGGAGACATCCGAGGAGACTCCGAGTCATTCAAATTGTTAATTGTTTTTCTGCTCGTTTTCCCCCATCATCATTCTCCTCCCACTCCTCCTATCCCCCTGATTCTCCTCCTCCCCTGTCTCCTCATACGCCTCCTTCCCTGCCTCATCATCATATGCATTATCCTTCTCCCCGCTCCCTCATCCATCCATCCAGCCTCCCTCTCCTCACCCCTCCTTCGCACGGTTCGGCGATCCCCTTCTTTGCCCCCGCTCTTCCCTAATCGCCTGAGCTCGCCTGGGCTGGAGGGGCTGGAGGGGGCGCGCGAAGCGTCGAGAATTCCCTCGCGCCTTCGTCACCCATTGGCAACTAGGGAGGGGGATGAGCAGGAGAGGGTGACAACGTTGCGGGTGTGCAAATGAGAAGCAGTACAGACACACCGACTAGAAGGCAAAGGTTTTTGTAACACAAATAGAACCCAGAGTGTCAGCACTGTGTTTGAATGCCCAACTCACCCCCCTCTCCCCCGACCCCTCGATTGCATCCTGGGGTCCCCAGAAGCACCCTCGGAATCCGATCGGAAGCCCCTGGCGTGCGACCTGGGGGCGGCGGAGGCCGAAGGCCGCTGGCGACGAGTCCTGCCACGAGGTTTGATTCGTGAGCAACCCAATCTTGATCAGACAGCCTTCGGGCCATGTTGGTGAGCTCCGCCAAATCGTGAACTGACAGGCGGCCATGTGCCATACCTGCAAAAAGGGCAGAGTAGAAGAGTCGCATCCCTGAATGCTCTGCTCTGAGCACTAAAAGGGTACGGACAGGGGAAGTTGACACGGACGGGCATAAATCACCCCGTCCCAGACGAAACGCAACTTCTCAATCTAGCCGCGGCAACGCACACATCGTTCAAGCTGCGTCCAGCCGCGGGGACGAGGGGGCCCCATGAAGGCCCCTCCACCAAAAAAGTCGAATCTCAAGTCTAGGGCGCCTTCGGCCTTGGACGCGAGGCAAGAGAGCAATGCCAGGATACACAGTTCAATGACCTCGGACCTCGGCCCTCCCTCGAGCGCAAGGGATGCGTGGTAGATGGGCGGCATGGTGCTATAGTTCTGCCACGTTGGGATGCAGGGTGCATCTCGGAGGCACGAGAACATACACACTTTGGCATGCAACACGCTTTGGGGCTGGTGGACGGGCCTCTTGGACTCGCCCCAGGGATCTCACGAGGCCCAAGAAACATCTAAAAAATCATCCTTGGTCCCAAGACAGCTGTGACAGATGTCCGCATTAAGGCGAAAACATAGTCCTGCCCTCGCGGGGCCGTCTTGGGGCCCTCTTGTGGCCATATGACGGCCCTCTCGGGGCTTGTTCTATGTTCCTAATAAGGTCTAAAAAACATCTTTGGCACCAAGACAGCTCGAACACATGTTCGCATGAATGCGACAACTAGCTCCAGCCATTCTGAGGCCGCCTGGGTGCCCTCCTGGGGCCGTCTGGCGGCCCTCTTGGGCTTGATCCATGGCCTTCGTCAGGCCTCTGGAAAAGCCACCCCTTGGCCACAGGACAGCTCGCACAAATTCTCGCATTAAAGCGAAAATCTGTACCAGCCATCTTGGGGCCATCAACCCTGTCGGGCTCCCCCATAGGACTCTCCCATAGGACTCCCCAAAGGCCCCCGCCCCTATTGAACTCACCCATCCGACCCCCCCATCGGGCTCCCCTACAGAACTCACCATAGTGCTTCTCCACAGTACTTCCCCATAGGGCTCCCCCACATAACCGCGGCCTCATAGGGTTCCCCCATAGACCCACCGCATAAGGCTCACACATTAAACTCCCTTGTAGGAACTCCCCAATCGCCCCCCCCCCCCCACTGGGTTCCCCCATGGGACTCCCCCGCAGGACCCCGCGCCCATAGGGGGGGGGCCATCGGACTCCCCCATAGATCTCCCCAAGAGGACTACCCCACAGGACTTCCCCATAAAACGCACTTGTAGGGCCCCTCAATGCCCCCGCCCCCGCACGCGCCTGGACCGCGAGCGGCCAGCCCCCAAACCATGGCCGCCACGCGCAGCGATTGTGGTGACGTCTCTTTTCAGGCTGAGAGGGGGGGCGCGGGGGGAAGGGCGGTGTGGGGGGGGGGGGGGGGGGGGGGTACTTAGCGCACGCGGCGCCGCGCAACCTCGCTTCGCGCGCATACACTACAATGCCATTGCAATGAAAGCAGCATCGGTGGACAACATGTGTTGCAATGGGCGGGTGAAGTTGCCATCGGGCGACGGATGGCGATCATGTGGTTTCAAAAGTTGTTCAAAAGTTGTTCTCAAGTTGTCCTCGAGACCAAAAGTTGTTCTCAAGTTGCTCGAAAGTTGTCCTCCGCGATATCACCCAGGCGATCGACGTGCAGATTGTTTCGAACGTTGCCCTCGAAGTTGGTCTATGTATCCTAACTGCGAGCCTAGTTGCTTATTCACACACCACCATGAACACGAGGACGATGGATGATGCGAACATGGTCAATGGCGAGGGGAGGGTGAGAAAGGACGGGGGCGAGGATGTGGATACCCTGGGGGAGGGTGAGAAAGGACGGAGGCGATGGGAGGGTGAGAGGGGAAGGCGAGAAAGGAGGTGAGAAAGGACGGAGACAAGGGGATGGCGAGAGGGGGGGGGTGAGAGGGGAGGGCGAGAGGGGAGGGTGAGAAAGGATTGGTGCGAGGGGAGGGTGATAGGGGAGGGTGAGAGAGGACGGGTGCGAGGGAAGGGTGGGGAAGGACGGAGGCGATGACCAAGGCGATGGTGGATACCCTGGTGGGCGCACTTCCACTCCGCAAACAGAAGGGGCCACGGAAGCCGCGGGGCCGCGGGCAACAGCTAAGAGGGGACAGGCGGGATTGCCGTCAGGCATCCTTCAAACCAAGGAGAGTTGCATCGCAATGTACCGCGCGCCAACACGCTGCACTGCTGATCGGGCAACGTGGCACGCTTAGTTCGATGGAGCGGCCAGGGGGCAAAAACATGGAGGAGCTCAAGGGCGGGACTTGGCGTGGACAACCCTCCTAATCATAGTGGGGGTCGGGCGCCCAAGGAGACGTCCGCGCGCGGATGCGAAACTGCTGAGGATGCGGCTTCCTGTCGAAAAGACGACCGAGATAAACACGTAAGCCAACTCGCATTTCTTTGCGGCCTCAATAGTGCGTGCAACTCTCCACCACATGCCCACGTTCAGCCCGCATGGAACCGACGCGCGCATAGCATGGCATTGCCCTCGAATCAAATCTATACGTATGTGTGTATACATATATGTATACATATATGGTGTGTATATATATATATATATATATATGTATGCAAACGGCATCATATAGCATATCATCACCGACGTATATTGGTACGAATGCGTGCATCTATTAAGGTGTAAATACTGATACGTACGTATACTTATGGATGTACAATATGTCACACAGCTGACCCCGCGAAACAGAACCCGTCTGGGCCCTTCTCCCCTCGCAAACCCTCAGGGCCCCGCGCGGGACGACCAGAGTACCGCGGCCACGGCGTCCGACGGGCATGTCCAACACCACACGATGGCTGGGAGTTGATCATGACACCTCGAGACAACGCCCCACCAGGACGCCAACCACCCACAATCAAATGACAACTCGAAGAGTGCCAGTGCACGTAGCACCCCACAATTGCTGATCAGAGTGAGCGTGCGGGCGGGCAGGGGCTGCGCTTGCGACCCACGGTGGTTGTGATGATGGTGGTGGTGGTGGTGATGGTGATGATGGTGGTGATGATGGTGGTGGTGATGATGATGAGGATGATGACGAGGCTAATGATGATGATGATGCGGATGAGGATGATGATCATGATGCGGATGACGATGGTGGTGATGATGACGATGAGAGTGATAATGATGGTGGTGATGATGGCGGTGGTGATGATGATGGTGGTGTGATGGTGACGATCATGATGATGATGGTGTTGGTGGTGGTGATGGTGATAATGATGATGATGATGAAAATGATGATGATGATGCGGATGCTGTTGGTGATAGTGGTGAAGATGGTGATGTTGGTGGTGATAAGGATGGTGATGTTGGTGATGATGATGACGATGGTGATGATCATAATGATGATCATGATGATGACAATGCTGATGATGATGTTGGGTCGGCACCGTGGCGGTGATGATGAGGGTGGTGGTGATGATGATGAGGATGATGACGATGCGGATGAGGATTATGATCAGGATGAGGATGATGGTGGGGATGGGGAGGAGGACGATCACGACGATGATGATGAGGATGGTGTTGATGGTGATTATGATGGCGGGGGGGCCCAAGAGGGCCCCAATGCGGGAGCAATAAGAAGCGATGGCGACGACGACGACGTCGACGATATTACGACGCTGACGGAGAAGAGGATGAGGGAATGAGGGGTGTTCCAAACCACCGGCCCTGAGCAGGGGCATCAACGCGGCCCTCTGTCTGTCGAATGTGGCCGCCGCTTCGGCGAGCACGGCGAACGCCCTGATGGCAATTCTCAATCCGAGTCAGCATCTGACGTGTCAAGCTTGATTACGAAAGCCCTGATGACAGCTCTCAAACAACGGCGAAAGCCCTGATGGCAGCTCACGTCAATGACGAAAGCCCTGACGGCAGCTCTCAGTCCGAGCCCTGACGTCAGCCCTGATGTTCAGCACTCAATCCGACGAGTCCGAACCTGACGTGTCCTCGTCCTCCAGCTTCTGAATGTGCGTATCATGGAACGTTTTCAGGTCGTTGTCACGCTCCTTCGCCAGCGCCAGGACGTGCTGAAGCGTGTCGAGCTTCGTCAGGAGACTGGCGATGCGCATATTCTTGGCCTTGAGTGCGAAGCGCATGATCCTCATCCGCCTGTCCCTCTTGCGGTAACTGCGCTTGGCCGCCGCGGGCAACTGTGTCACCCATTGCAGCTTGATCTTGCGCGGCATGTGCCAAGAATCCAGATGTGGCAGAGAATTGATATCTGGCGGCTTGGCGTAGAACGCGCCTTGAACCTTCGGTTGCAGAATGCACCCAAGGTTACACAGAGGGTCTGGCAATGGAAAAAACTGGAAGGCGCTGGCATTGTGAAACACGAATCTGGTAAGGCCAGCGACCCGCTATCGGCGATGCTGGCCCCAAGACAGCCTAATTTGGCCCCGACGCAGCCCAAGGTGGCCCCAGAGACAGCCTACAATGGCCCCAAGAATGCCTTTGGTGGCCCCAAGAATGCCTATGATGGCCCCAAGACAGCCGAATGTGGCTCCGAGACAGCTTAGAATGGCACCAAGACTGCCAATTGTGGCCCCAAAGACAGCCCATGATGGCCACAAGAATGCCTATGATGGCCCCAAGGCAACCTAATGCTGCTCCGAGACAGCCTAGAATGGCCCCAAGACAGCCTACTGTGGCCCCAACGACAGCATATGATGGCCCCAAGAATGCTTATGATGGCCCCAAGAATGCCTATGATGGCCCCAAGACAGCCGAATGTGGCTCCAAGACAGCCTAGACTGGCCCCAAGACAGTCCATTGCGGCCCCAAATGCAGCCCATGATGGCCCCAAGAATGCATATGATGGCCCCAAGACAACCTAATGTGGCTCCGAGGCATGCTGGGGTGGCCCCAAGACAACCTATTGTGGGCCCGAGACAACCTATGGCGTGTCGTGGGGTGTGTTTAGTGTGGTGTTTCGTGGGGTGTTGTTTCGCGAGGTGGTTCGTGTGGTGGCTTTCGTGGTGTGTGTGTGTGTTTTTTCCGACGGGTGCTTGGATGGGTGTTTTTTCGTGCGGTGTGTCGTGGAGTGTTCTTCGTGCGGTGTTCCGTGTTGTGCTTTTCGTCTGGTGTGTCTTGGGGTGTTTTTGGTCTGCGGTGTTTTGTGGGGTGTGCTTCGTAGGGTGTGGTTCGTCGGGCGTTTCGCGGTGTGCGTTTCGTCTGCTGTTTCGTGTGGAGTTTTTCGCGGGGTGCCTCGCGCGGTGTGATTCATGGGGCGTTTCGTGGGGCGTGTTTCGTTGTGTGTTTCGTGTGGTGCTTTGTTCGCTTGGTGTTTCGTGGGGTGTCTGTCGTTGGGTGTGTTTCCAGCTGGTGTTTCGCGTGGTGTTTTTCGTGTTGGTTTTCGTTGGGTGTTCGTCGTGGGGCGTTTCGTGTGGGGTTTTTCGCTTGGTGTTTCGTGGGGTGTTTTTTCGTCGGGTGGTTCGTGGGGTATGTTTCGTGGCGCGTGTTTCGCGCTGCGTTTCGTTGGGTAGTTTTCGTTTGGTCGTTCGTGGTGTGTTTTTCGTGGGGTGTCTCGTGTGGTGCGTTTCGTGGGGCGTTGCGTGGGGGCGTTGTTCGTGGTGTGTTTCGTGGTGTGGTTTTCGTGCGGTGTTTCGTGGGGTGTGTGTCGTGTGGTGCTGTTCTTGCGTCCGTTTCGGTTTGCGTGTTTTCGTGGGGTGTTTCGCGGGGCGTTCTACGCGGGGCGGTTCGCGGTGTATTTTTCGTTTCGTGATCGTGGGGCGTTTTTCTAAAGTGTTTCGTGTGGTGTTTTTTTCTATGTGTTCTACGCGGGGTGTTTCGCGGGGTGTGTCTCGCATTATGTTTCGCGGGGTGCTTTTCGTAATGCATTTTCAGTGGGGCTTGTTTCGTGGGGTGTTTCGTGGGGCGCGTTTCGTGGCGCGTTTCGTGCGGTGTGTTTCGTTTGGTGTGTCGCGTGGTGTTTTTCGCGGGGTGGTCTTCGCGGGGTGTTTCGCGTGGTGTTGTTCGTTGGGCGTGTCGCGGTGCGTTCTTCGTGCTGTGTGTCGTGGGGTGGTTCTCGCTGTGCGTTTCGCGGGGTGTTTCGCGGGTAGTTTTGCGCTCTTCTCCCCGCACAAAGCCCGACATACAAAAAAGAGCACGTCGCGCCAGCACAGGGCAAACATGGAAACAGAGCACGTCGCACATGTGCAGGCCCAACATGGGAAACCAGCAAGTCGCAACTGCACACAGCCCGCGTGGACAAAGAGCACGTCGCACATGTACAGGGCCAACATGGAAAAAGAGCACGTCAGACTTTTGCAACTCCAAAGTGGAAAACGGCACGTCGCACCCATACGGGGGCCAACATGAACAAAAAACACGTCGTACGTCTAATACCGAAAAATAGCACGTTGCGCCTGAAAAGGGCCAACATGGAAACCGAACACCTCGCTTTTTTGCAGGCCCAACATGGAAAAAAAAGACGCGTCGCAACTGTGCACAGCCCACATGGAAAAAGAACACGTCGCACATGCACAGGCCCAACACGGAAAACATAGTACGTCGCACCTTTTTTGCGGGCCCAAAGTAGAAGAAACGCACGTCGAACTCGCACAGGGGCCAACATGGAAAAAACAAAAAAATCACGCCGTACTTTGGGGTGCCCAACATGGAAAAGAGGACGCCGCACCCGTGCAGGGCCAACTTGGAAAAAAGAGCATGCCACACGTTTGCAGGCCCAAAATCGACAAACAATCACGTCTAAGTTGGGCAAGTCCAGAAAATGAGCACGTCGCACCTGTACAGTGTTTTTCTATCCGCGTATGTGGGCCCGAGGCCGCCTGGGCGGCCACCAGGATGGTGCGGGCTGTGGTTTCCAACGCCCTGAAATTACAGCGAACCCGCGGGGATACCATGCGCGCGCGACCGAGGGGGGCAGGGGTGCCCCAAGGGGGACCCGACAAGGCCCCATGGCGCATATGCTCGGGTGCCCCTCTGGCAAGCCCAAGAAGCATATCACTCGCATGCGGTTTGAAGCCCTCTTGGGCCACTCTCGGGGCCCTCTCGGAGCCCTCTGGGAGCACTCGTGGACCCTCTTGGCGCCCGCTGGGGGTTCCAAAAAATCATCTCAGGGACGCCCGAGGAGACCCCGAGTCATTAAACAAGTGCGTGACTTTCCTGTTCGCAAGTGTCCCTGAAGTCCCATTCCCCCCCCCACCCATCCACCCTCCTTATCATTCTCACCCTGCTCCTTCTACTCTTCCTTCTCTTCCCCGCCAGCATATGCATCATCCTTCTCCCCGCTCCCTCGTCCAGTCGGCCTCTTCCCCTCCTCCCGCATTCGCTCGGTTCGGCGACCCCCTTCATTGCTCCCGCGCGTCCCTGATCGCGCCAACTCACCTGGGATGGGTGGGCTGGTGGGGATACGCGAAGCGCCATGTTTTTTGCTGCATGTGCAGCGTATATGGTTGCATCGTTTGCGTTGCATTTCCTTGATGACCATTGCGTCCTTTGCAATGCACCGCATTGGTTGCACCGCGCAGTTTGCACCACGCAGACCGCGCAAAATAGTCGGCTAGAAGCCACTGTTTGTGGCCCACGCTGCCAGTCATTACTTCGGGCCCCGCCCGACCCGAGGGGGCGGCAACAAGGCGGCGACGGGTTGGCGACGGCGGCATCATAGCAATCAGATCGACTGTCAGGCGCAGCTCCGAAGAGCTGGATAAGAACCCTAAGTACAAGCACTGATTGGAGAATTGTTGAGCGGGGGGGCATTGATTGCTGGTTGGTGTCTGCGAGGCAGCGCTTCGCGCCACCGTCTGATGTATGTGCATGCGATCATGTATGCGTTTAGGGCGACATAGATTGTGTTCTCGCTCATGTATGATAGAGTGTTCTCTCGCTCATATTATGCATAGGTGTAGTGCGTTATCGCTCATAGTGTGCATGCATGTCGCCACTATCTGATAGAGCGTTTTCTTGGCCATAATGCCCATGTGTGAATGCACGGTCGCACTGTCGACCCGCACAGCCGCAAAGTTACGCTACGTACTTATAGCACAGGTTCCTCTGGCTCACCGTCTTTAGCAGGGGGCTCGTGTGACAAAAGGTCTCGGCCCGCTGCGGACGATTTCAAGTCTTCTCGGAACGCATTGCGCGAATCAATATCAGCAGCTAATGCTTCAAACAACTCTGTATCCTTGTGCTCAACTTTTGACCCTAACACTATACCTGCAGACAACCACGTGCCCATGATGCCACACGGTCGGCCCTTGCCAAAGGATCGAACCGTTTTTTTCGCAGAAAAGGTGCATGTGCTACCATGAAACTTATTGTCACAAGTAGCTTGAAACTCGTTCTTGGATGCATAAAACCAAATCCTGCCACCTGGGACTCTCATCAGAGCAGTTGCGGCCCCTCTTGGACCTCCTGCTTTTGGAATTGGATGTGGCTCTGGCGGGGGCGGGGGTGGCGCCTCTGGAGGCGGCAAGGGCGGAGGCGGCGAGGGCGGGGGCGGAGGCGTCTCAGTCCCACCCACCTCTTCACCGCCATCGAGCCCGTCATGTTGGCTCCCTCCATCCCCATGGTCGCTGCCAGCGGCACCTGGATCGGCTCCGCCCCCTCCGTCGTCGGGCCCTGTGTCGCCGCCATGGCCCTCATCAACCTGAAGGCCCAGAAGGCTGGCAGCAGCGATGAGGGTCTCTTCGTCTGGCTCGCCACCCCTCGAGACGTCGCTGCCTCCGTCGGTGCGGTGGCTGTCCTCCCCCTCACTATGACTCCCGCCTTCGCTTCCGCCACCGTCGTCGTCGGGGTCGCTCTCCTCGTGCACTCCTGCTGCTCGTAGGGGTGGCCAGAATACCTGCGGCTCGCCCAGGGGCGCAGCTGCCGCCTGACCTGGCCGATACGCGTCGAGGATCTTAGCTCTGTCCAGCAACTCGTAGAACTGAACAGTCCACCCACTCCCATCATCCTTGCACATCTGCAAAAGCTTGTAATCGATGAGGTACTGGTGCTGAGATTTGACAACTACCTCTGTCGGGTAATCTGTGCCATCATCGTACTCCGCAATAATAGGCGTCACCGACGTGAAGGTTGCTCTGAGCGGCGATTCATACAACATGCCAACGTGCCTCCAAGCCACCACAACGTCGTCAGCTCGGGGCGCCGAGTGCGCCGTCAACGTAGCAGCGCCAGGGACACTGACAAATCTGCACGCGAAAAACCCAGCTCTTGCTCTCTTCCTGGACGCACTGCCTCGCCTGAAGGTCGTGCGAAACACGTCGTAGAAGGACTTGTGAATCCGTTG